CCCCGCTGCGGCGGCACCGCGAGTCAACGGCACCTCGCCTGGCGGCTGAGGGGACCTCACCTCGGGGCGGGGCCTCCGCGAGGCCTCGCTCCCCGACCCAGCCGCCGCCGAGGGCTGGCAGCCTGGGCACAGAGCGGCGCGGTGGCACCGGCCCCGCCGTCCTCAGGCTACAGCGGGACCGCAACCAGAGGCCGCGCAAGGTGGGAAAGAGGGAGAGTGGGGCCAAAAACGCGGGCGAGGCCTTTGCTGCCCTGCCAGCCTGGGCACAGAGCGGCGCGGTGGCACCGGCCCCGCCGTCCTCAGGCTACAGCGGGACCGCAACCAGAGGCCGCGGAAGGTGGGAAAGAGGGAGAGTGGGGCCAAAAAAGCGGGCGAGGCCTTTGCTGCCCTGCCCTCCCTGCGCCTCACGCCAGCAGAACGTGGAAGAAGAGGGAAATGGCACGCGCCCGGAGCAGGACAGGTTGCCCTCGCCAGTGCAAACCTGGTGAGATTTTGCAGGCTGAATACGTGCGCTTGGTTCATAAGAGTGTGCTTGTATTGGTGTTAGTGCTGAACTAACCTTGGAAAGGAGCAGTCTGGAGGAAGGCAGAGCCTCTGATCAGCGCCTATGCCCTCTCCCAGAACCCGGCTTGCTCTGGGGAAGGGGCTGCTCATTGTACCCAGTGCCTGTTGGTGATCCAAGAAGCAAGTAATGAAAAACAACACCCCGTAGGATTCTTTAATTCTGCATCCAGACACCCCTGCGTCGCCCCACAGGTAGACAGGGGTCTGTTGGACTGAGGGGAAGGCGGGAGGCTTCTGGTTACCTCTAGGACTCCAGCCAGCCTTCCCTGTTCCTGGGCTGCTTGCTGTGTCCCATCGCCCAGCTCCACACGAGGGAGCGCTTATAAAATGTTCATACTCGCTTCCTAACCTCCCGGTCTGAAAATCCAGCCAGCGGCTTGGGAGGATCGGCCGAGACAAAATGCCAGTTAGAAATGAGTATTACTAAGCTGTACAGAAATGGCACCATGAAGATGCTTCCGCAAATGCAGCCTTGCAGCCTTCTTTGTTCTGGCCTGCTCTGCGCCCATCACCAGGACACCCCCTCCGCCTCCTTGCAACCTCCAGATGTGCACACCTGACGGTCAGCCTCCAATCCCGTAAAAGCTGAGGGATGACAAAATAACCTCGTTTTATTCCCTTTTCTCTTTACTCGTCCCTTCTTCCGTGATTGGTTTAGCAGATAGCTTAAGTCCCTGGCTAGCGCTGTACACATGGCGTGGTGAAAAGATCTGGATGTGCCGGGGCGGGTGGCAGCCCAGATGAACTGAAGTGAGGCTGCGGCAGCGCTGGCTGCTGGACAGTGGCTTTGATGTTACCGACTCCTCTTGCCCGAGCCACATCGAAGGGATCTCCCACCTGAACAAACCCAGCCTTTGTGGCTGACGGCCCCCAGGGCCCCTCACAGAGGGAAGCTCACGCCAGCCAGGCCCTGGTGCGGTCACCAAGGTGGCTGCTGGGTCTCGCATGGGCAACCCCACTGCAGAAGTGAAGATGTGCGCGAGCGGCAGCCATTGCCATAAGTCAGGGTTTCTTCTGTCGCACTGTCGTGACTGGCACTGGCAGGAGCCGTGGCTGGGTTTAGCTACCACTAATCTCGGGACGGATCAAATCTGAAGCAATGACAAGAAGACTGTGCCGCCCTACTCCTTCTGCTGCTACAACCACAGCGACATATGGAGGACAGCGAGCACTTCCCTGCCAGGCTTAGCACAGGCAGCTAAGAGGCGAGTGACTGTCCCTGCTCCGAGGATTGTCCCACCAGACCCTGCCACCAGCTCCTGGTGGCAACCAGGAGCTGAGCCTTGGGCAGTTGCTGTCTTCTACCAGCACCTCCCTTCACTTGGTCTCCCCTGGGCTCTCGCCCTGTGACTGGAGCAGCAAGGGCACGTCTGAGACCCAGCGTACCTGGCTGCACCCTGTGGTTACTTCCCAGCACAGGAAAAGTGCCTCGGGCCAGCAGCCCTCCCCGTGACTCCCCCGTCACAGCGTGAGGCGAGAGCTGGGAGCCCACCAGGCCCTGCCAGGAGAGTTGTCTGCACCCTGCCCGGGGCTGGGGCTGTGGTGTTTCCCCTTGCAGCAGTTGTGGCGGCGACGTGCTTGCTCTCGCAGCGCTGCACCCAGCACAAGGCGAAGAGCCAGGCCATCTGCATGCGGGCAGGGCAAAAAAAAATGATTGCAGGCATCCAGTGCCAGCATGGCACGGCCCAAATAAAAGGTTTGCAGATGCTGCTCAGGCAGGATTAGGCATCCAATGTGCTAAGTCTCGGCCCTCGGCAAGCCTAATTGCTGCTGCAATAAGCCCTGGCTGGTCCTTCCCTGAACTGTGCTCCCCACGGCCCCCCCGTCAAACATTTTTTTTTTTGCTGCAAAGCTTGTATTTGCCATGCATATGTTCCTCCCCTCCCGGCAGGGCCTGGCTGAGCAGAGGAGGGGAAAGGCATGAAATCTACAGATGCCACGTTTATTGCTCTGCTCTTCCCAGCCAGCGTCCCACCACTCCCCCCCCCGCCCAGCACAGCCTGTGGCTGCCTGTGTCCAAGGAGCAAGGCCCAGCAGCAGAGGCGGGGACAGGTGACAGCATCGTTACATGGCCGCATACCTCCTGAGCTGTATTAGGAAACTTTCCACATTGGAATTACTCAGATTTTAATAAATCCTTTTGATAATTTTCCGTGATATTTTGGCCAGCAGATGAAACTGGAGGTGTTCCAGGAGAGCTGTCGTGGTGCGTGCGTGGGCTAGTTCAGCCCAGCCATGAGATGAAGACCCATCGCAGCCAGGAGTTGGGCAGTTGGATGGCCACGGCGCCCTTGTGCCTCACTGGTGGTGCTTGTGCGGTTGGGACCACGTGGCTGCTCTGTGTGCCTCCCCGGGAGGCAGAGGTGCCCCCAGCAGTACCTCCCACCATGCGTTCACCTAGCCCAAGTGAGCAGCTGTTCCTTTTATTTAACCACAAGAGACGTGGGGACACAGGGCCCAACTCTGCATTTCAGTGAAGAACCTCACACTTGAGCTGTATCGAGAAGGATTTTCAACAACCCTCGGGAGAATGGAGCAACTTTCTCCCCATGACTTCCCTCAGGAACTGGCTGCGTGCTCCGTTTTGGACCATCTCCTAACCCATCAGCTGTGGTTTGGCTCTTTGACTGGCACAAATCACTCACCTTCTGGCATGTGGAGGCCACTGGACGAGACCTCAGTTCTGGGGAGACAGGAGCGCTTTGCTTTGCCCCCTTGGAACAACTACACTGCCTCAGCAGAGCTCTCCAGCCCAGTTTAGGCACGAGTCTGCAGAGGATCTGCTCAAAGCTAGCAGCTACCACGAGATGTGCCAAAGGAAGGTAGAAATTGCAATGCAGAGCATGAAAACCAAAGATACACCACAATTTTATTTATGTATGTGTAATAAATAAATGGTGGACAAAACAGGAAGAGCCACATTCAAAAATCCAGATCACTAAAGTGCTTTTAGACATATATATAGGACGACCAAGAAACAGCTCTGACATTAACACTTTTTACAGACAATTACAAAATATCTTCTTATGTCAATTCACAAAATTGTTCAATTGCTCCAGGGTACTATGGCTTGGTTTTGAAAAAGGTCTGTTCTATTATGCATAGTATGGCAGATAACATTCAAGAGTGTACAAAATCATTGCATAAACAAAAATGTCTTTACCCCCTTCTCCCAAATATGAGTTAAGGAAGCTACACAGTGTAAATCCAGTGATAAGGCTGCATTGGCAGGCCAGATCCTCAGGAGGTATAAACCGGCGTGTCTGTCAGGTCACACCAGCTTGAGGATGAACCCTACCATGTTCAAAAACCCTGCTGCTCCTCAAGGTGAAAGAATTGTGTGTTCAAAGCGGAGGGACTTACCACGCGGGCGCTGTGCAGGGGTGGAAGTGCTCGGAGAAGGCGTCTGTAAACTCCTGCACCCTCTTTGCACCCGCGCATTTGAGAAGGGAGCGACTCCCATTGCATTGCTGCTCTTTGTGCTCCTGGCTGGCCGGGGAAGCGTTCACAGCCCAGAGGGGAAGGGTGGCTCTTCCCCAGCAACGGTCCACGCTGACCACAATGCGGTCTCGTTTTCGTACTGCTCTTGGCCCCGCTGGGACACCTCTCCCACCCTCCACCATGGCTCTGCTGAGAAGTGAACAGCTTGAAAGTGAGGGGACAAGGGGATGTGTGTGCCCAGTTTTAAAATGCCCTGAATTCAGATAAAAGTTCAATTACTTCAGAAAAAAAAAAGTATCAATAAATCAATAAATATTATTATCTCGCCAGGAAGCTGTGAGGTCTGGCCTCCTCCGGGGCAGCCCAAGCTCAGTGGTCCCTGTCCTTCTGCTCCGTGGGGGGCTCCCCGTTGATGCACTGCCTCAGTACGCCCCTCTTCTCATGCTTGGCTGTCCTGGAGAGGTCGATGGCTGTGTCCTCCGAATCTTTTGCAGGGCCAAGCTTGTCGGACCCCCTCGGGGAACTGGCCTGCTTCCCTTTGAGTTCCTCCTCCTCCTGCTCCGCTCGCCAGCCATCTGCCAGCTTCTCTTGGCTCTCCGCCTTCCTGCTCACCTCCATGGACTTTTTGTGCATGCCTTGCAGAGGGGAGAGAGCAAAGCCAAGGGCACCGGTTGCTTATTTCTGCCCGGGACCGCTCAGCATCACCTCCTGCACTCCTGCTGCTTCCTTCAGCTCTCGCTTGCATCCCAAGGAAAACTCATGCTAGCTACCAGCCCTTCCCGACCCGGAGCCCTGCCACCTGCTCTCTGCAGCCCAAGAGGATGGATTGCGGCAGAATTGGTCCATACCTCTCCTGCAGCGGGGAAGACTTACAGGGAGAGGGGTGCTGTGACAGCCCATCCCAGCCTGGATTTCAAGTGCCACCTCAGTGTAGGATCTTGTATGAGCAGAGGGTAGCTTCAGTTTGGGGGGGGGAGGGTGATGACTTCCTAGACACCCTGCGACTCCCACACTGGCTGCTAGCACTAGAAAGCTGTATAGCTAACTATACGCAACCACGTGCAGACACCTGTCTGACACAGCAGTAAAAGGTTTTCCCTTTCCCAGCTGTTCTTTGCAAGGAAGGAGTGGAAAAGCCAGGGTGCTTGGCAGCCTGTGTACAGCTCATGGCCGAGGCCCTGTTCTTTGCTGGGAAAAGGCAAGGACATCCATATGAAAGAGGAAGGGCCGTTCACTCCGCAGCTGCCCCCTGACCCCCCCAGCCCCAAGCTCCCACTTACCCAGCAGCCATGGGGCACAGGATCCCACCAGCCCACTCTTGGCGGAGTTGATGATGGACTCGGGCAGAGGGATGGAGTGCCTCACCATGGCCCCGTAGAGGCCGTACTCAGCCATCACGCTGCTCCGGCCCCAGCACTTCTCCCGCTTCCGCCACTTGGCTCTTCGGTTCTGAAACCAAACCTTCAGGGGTAACAGCCAGGAGAGCACAGAGGGGTGGGATTGGGGAGGAGACGGTCCCCGTGGCCGGGCATCCAGGGCCCATCGGGCACGGGGGAGCGTGCGTCCAGGGCAAAGGGGCAGCCGTGGGGGTGCATGGAGGCGTTTGTGCGAGCACAGGGTGTGGACGCGCAGGTGGCAGTGGGAGGGTGGCCGGGGCAGTGCGTGGGGAGGGGGTTGAGGGAGGGCACACACGTGGGTGTCAGTGAGAGAGGAGAGGAAGGGGGGGAGAGGGAGCACACGTTACACGAGGCTGATTGTGACACAGGAGGGTGATCCCAGCCAAAATCACCCTACACGCCACCTGCCCGCAGGGTCCCTCTGCTGCCTCCACATGGAGCACCAACCTCTCCGGAAAAAGGGGTCCGTAATGCAGTGACCGATGATGACAGAGGGTGCTCAGGTCCCTCTCCCTACCCCCTTCCTGCATTCGAAGGCTCAAGGGGTGCAGATACAACCTGGCTGCTGCCCAGACTACCACCCCATTCTTAAGCTGCTCCACAGTGGGGCAGGATCAGGCCCTAAAACACCATGTGTCCCTCAAAGGGACAAGCTAGTCAGCAAGCTAGTGGGACACAGCTTGGCCCAGCAGCTCCTGAATCGCTCTCAGCTCCTGCCTGAGTTGGGTCTCCGGAGGACAGAGCCGAGCTGCCGGCAGTGAGCGGCCATCAGGGCCAGCTCAGTCCCCTGGCTCTGCATTTCCATTTGGGGCCTGTTCAGTGCCGGGGGGCGGAAGCTGAGCCCCCCCCCCCCGCCCCAAGCGCCCTGCAGCATTTCAGTGCCACCACGTTCCCACCACCTGCACTCACTGGCCATAGCGCAGAAGAGTCAGCCAGGCGCCGGCAGCCTGCAGGCTCCAGCGGGAGAGAGGACCGGCGCAGCCACCTACCTGTATCCTGTCCTCCGGCAGCTCCGTCTTCACGGCCAGCATCTCCCGGGCGTAGACGTCGGGGTAGTGAGCTTCGTTGAAAGCCTTCTCCAGCTCCTCCAGCTGGTGAGCTGTGAACACCGTCCTGCCGGGAGGGGAGAGCATCCTGTGGCACAGTCCAGACCCTCACGGCAAGCAGCGGGGCTGGCTGCCCCCTCCCCGCTGAGATTTTTCCTCCTGAAAATCCTCCCCCCACCCCCAGCTGCAGCCTTTCTCTTTCTTTGCTCCCTTGGGATCATCCACCGCCCCAGCCAGGGGACCAGAGGGACAGCGGGAGGCTGGTGGCAGCAGCGAGGAGGTGAGAATGGGGACAGCCCCGCTCTCGGGCTCTACCTGTGCCGGCGTTTCTTCCTCTTGATCTGGGAGGTGGACATCTTCAGGTCGCTGGCGTCCCCAGACAGGCTGTCCTCATCTGGCAGCAGCATGCGGGAGGGGAAGAGTCACGTTCCCGTTGGGAGGAGGGGGACCGAACCCAGCTCCCGAAACGCGGCTCCAGCTGCCCGCGGGGAGCGGGCCCGGGGCAGGGGTCCCCTCCCACAGCAACCGGTGGCACCAGCTCCGCAGCAGAGGCCGGAGCGCCGCGCCGGTGCCGCTATCTCGGGGCGGGGGATCGGCGCCCACCCTTGGCGGGGGGTCGGAGGGGCGGCAGCCCTGCGGGACGGGGAGCGCGGG